CAGGTGAAGAAGTTCCACACCGGCTCCAATTTTCTGACCTAGCTAAAACTACAGCACAAGCTCCATCCATGACTAAGGTACCTGCACCAATGGAACAGGAACCAATGGAACAGGAACTAGTTGAACAAAGTAACAGAAGCGAGGAGAAGCCATATAGAAGGAATCGTAGTGTCCAAATGGGGAAAGCTCTCACCTACATTCCACCAGATCTGCAGGGGGATACAATTGTAGTAACAATTGAAGAGGAAGACATCAAGGAACAGCAGAATTACTGGACTACTGCACTCATTGGGTACGTATTGGGTGAAAATCCATATTTCAAATCTATGGAGAACTATGTCGAGAATGTTTGGGATTTTGTTAATACTCCAAAGATATTGTACCACGATGAGGGTTACTACATATTTAGATTTGATTCAATTGAAGATATAGACAAAATCATGCAATCAGGACCTTATACTTTTCATAATAAGCCATTTATATTGAAGAATTGGACACTTGATTTTGTTTTTAATCTGGACTGTTTGAATGTAATTCCAATTTGGGCAAGATTTCCAAACCTTCCTGTGGGATTTTGGTCAGCTGAGGCCCTAAGCAAAATGGCAAGTGGTATAGGTAAGCCAATGTACACAGATCTATATACTGCTGAGATGGATAGAATTTCATATGCAAGGGTCCTTGTTGAAGCAGACATTTCTCATACTTTACCAAATGATATTTTACTTCGTACTCCAGTAGGAGTAATTCATCAAAGCATAGAGTATGACTAGAAGCCTATGTTTTGTATGGACTGTGCAAAGGTTGGGCATACCACTGAAGAATGTAGACAGAACAAGGAAAAAGGAGAATCTAGAGAATTTGTAGAACAGAACAAAAGAAGGATAAGGGGAAAAAGAAGAAGAAAAGTGGAAACTAAGTGGGTAGCAAAAGAGGTGCCTGAACCAAAAATTGGGAAAGATGAGACTGCAAAGGTGACTGGAATACATGAAATTGTAGCAGAAGAACAAAGGGAAGCTAGGCAGCTAGATAGTAATGAATTCCCACCACTCTCAGTAATAAGGAGTGAGGAATTATGATAAGCAAACACTAGTGTCTACAGGGGATGAACCAAGCTGTTCTACTAGCCAAATCAATACCATAAATAAATTTGATGTCCTGAACCAAGGTGGTACTACAAATGATACTGGACAGGGTGGACAAAACCACCCTACACCTCAATGATTCTCAGCACCTGGAATATAAGAGGGCTGAATAAGCCCTTTAAACAGAAGGAGTTGATGCTCTTTCTGAAGAAGTATAAGGTAGAGGTAATGGGGCTAGTTGAGACAAGGGTGAAAGAGAATAAGGCAAAAAGAATAGCTCTGAAAACAGTAAAGGATTGGAAAGTACAGTTGAACTATAATTGTGCATATAATGGAAGAATTTGGTTAATGTGGAGGCCTTATATTCATATCCAGATTCTGAAGGTTGATGCACAGTTTATTCACTGTGAAGTGGAGACTATGCTAGACAGAAGAAATGGCTTTTCACTGTTGTATATGCTTATAATGAATGGAACTCTAGACAGCAATTATGGGAGAAGCTTATTGGTATAGGATCCAATATTAGTGATGACTGGTTAATTAGTGGTGATTTTAACAATGTCTTGCACTCAGATGATAGAATAGGAGCTCCTATAACCCAGGCAGAGATACAAGGGTTCAAGGAATTCTTAGACAAAATGCAGCTCACTCCCTTGAAAAGCACAGGATGGTATTATACATGGTGTAATAAAAGGGATGAAAATATGAGGGTGTATAGTAAAATGGATTGGGCTTTTGTAAATTTCAGTTGGATGATGAACAATGGGCACACTGAGGCAGAATATCTAAATCCTGGGGTATCTGATCACTCCCCTATATTGATGAATTGCAGGACTGGCATCATTCAACAGCAGCTGCATCCTAGGCCATTTAGATTGTACCATACTGTCCTTCACCATCCTGACTTCACAAGGATAGTGAAAGAAGTATGGGTGCAAAATGAGTGTGTCCTAGGAAAGTCAAGGACATGGTATAAGCTTAGAAATCTGAAAGTAGCATTGAAAGACCTGAACAGCTATATGGCAACTTACAAGCAAAAACTGAGTCAAGCAAAACAGAAGTTAGAACTGGTGCAGCATCAACTGTCTATTCAGCCTTTAACACAGGAATGCATTGAAGAAGAAAAGGAAGCATTATTAGAAGTGGAGAAATGGAGTAACATTGAGGAACAGGTGATGAGGCAGAAGTCTAGAGCTACTTGGATTCAACATGGAGATGTCAACACCAAGTACTTGCATGCTCAATGGAAAATGCGCACTAACAATAATGCTATTGTTTCTATTCACAATGATGCAGGTATCAAACTAACAGAACATAAACAGGTGGAGGAGCAATTTTTGGGATTCTTTAAGGCACTAATGGGTGAGTCTCTACCAGTACACCCATGCTCAGATGTTGAGGTAATTAAAAAGGGACCTTGTTTAACAAGGTCACAGCAATTGGAGATGATCAAGCCAATCACAGAGGAAGAGATAATGGGAGCTATTAAAAGCATGCCAACTGACAAAGCTCCAGGAGTTTATGGTTTTCCAGTTGAATTCTACACAAGCCAATGGGAGGTGATCAAAGCAGATGTGATTGCTGATGTCTTGGACTTCTTTGAGACAGGAAAGCTGCCAAAGACCATAAATAGTACTGCTATTACTCTTATTCTTAAAGTTCCTAGTCCTACTCAGGTTAAGGACTTTAGGCCAATAGCATGTTGCACTACTATTTACAAGATAATCTCCAAGATTATAACTGGGAGATTAAAAGCAGTAATGAACTACTTAGTAGGAGACTCTCAATCAGCATTCATTGAAGGCAGGAATATTACTGATAACATCCTATTCACTCATGAACTTTTCAAAGGCTATACTAGGAAAGGCATATCTGCAAGATGTATCCTCAAGGTAGATCTGAGGAAAGCCTATGATACATTGGATTGGTTCTATTTGAAAAGGATATTGATAAGACTGGGGTTTCCACATAAATTTGTATGCTGGATTATGGAATGTATAACAACTGTATCTTACTCTTTGACCTTAAATGGAGGTCTTACAAAACCATTTGAGAGCAAGAGGGGGATAAGGCAGGGTGATCCTATGTCACCCTACTTATTTGTGATAGCTATGGAGTACTAGCAAAGGGAATTTAGTCTACTGGCATCAAATAAAGAGTTCCACTTTCATCCAAGGTGCAAAAAACTAGGAGTGATGCATGTGTGCTTTGCAGATGATTTATTGATGTTCTGCAGAGCTGACTTACAGTCAGTTAAACTACTGCAGGATGCTTTCCTGAAATTTTCAAAAGCATCAGGACTACAAGCAAATCCGGAGAAAAGCTCAGTATATATTGCAGGCACATCTGAGAGGATAAAAGAACTTATATTGCAGGAGTTGGGTTACAATGAAGGCAACTTACCCTTTAAATATTTAGGGGTCCCATTAGCTCCCAAAAAGCTGTCTAATCATCAGTGTTGGCCATTAGTTGAAAAAATTACTGCAAGAATCAGCTGCTGGACCTCAAAACTATTATCATATGCTGGAAGACTGCAACTCATCAAGTCAGTAATATTTGGGATGCAGTCTTATTGGGCTCAGGTATTTTTACTACCAAAGAAGATCAGCAAAATGATAGAGGCTGTGTGCAGAACTTACCTATGGACTGGGCTGGCTGACATCTCCAGGAGAGCCTTGGTAGCATGGGATAGAGTTTGTTTACCACAAACAATGGGAGGGTTGAATGTGATAAATCTGTGCAACTGGAACAAAGCTGCAATAATGAAGCATCTATGGGCAATCACAAAGAAGAAAGATTGTTTGTGGATTCGATGGGTCCATACCTACTACATAAAAAACAGGAGCATTGACACTATGCATATACCTAAGAATGCAGCTTGGGTTGTACGGAAGATTATTGAGCAAAGGAAGTTCATATTGAATATACCAACTCTACAAGGCAATGTGCAAGATCGACTGGAATCTCTACAAAGCACAATTGGTAAATTCAGTATTAAGAAGCTTTATAACTTGCAAACTCCTCAGGGACAGAAGGTATACTGGAAAAGTTTGATCTTACATCCTCATATACATCCAAGACACAAGTTTAACATGTGGCTGGCCATCTAAAGAAGACTACCAACTGAGGATCGATTGCAGAAAATAGGAATTCAAGTAAACCTAATGTGTGTTTTTTGTGGTCAGGAAGAAGAGCTATTGGAACATCTATTCTTTGAATGCTCATACACAAGTTCTATCTGGAAGAGATTGCTAAACTGGATGGGAATTCAAAGACAAATTCAAACTTGGGAGGAGGAGCTACAATGGGTGACTTATCAGGCTAGGAAGAAGAAAGGGATTGGCAATATCATTTCAGCAGTTTTTGGCATGTTGTTGCACAGTATATGGAGGGACAGGAATGCAATCAGATTTCAAAGTGGATGCACCTCAGCAGAGCAGATATGCAGAGAGATCACCTCATATATCCATATCAAGAGCCATATACACAGCAATTGGAAGGATTATATGGAAGCGTCAGATAGATATCCATAACTTCTTATGTGTAATTCAATTTATGTTAGAGTTTTTGCTAGAAGTATATGTATAGGATATGAACATTATAGCTTACTAGTATAGTGTATAGGGAGACATCTTTGAGACGTAGAAGTTAAGTATAGTCTAAGAAGAGATAAGGAGCTGGTCGGCAGATCCTATTATGTACAAAACAATTTTGATGAATGAAATGGTAGTTTATCAAAAAAAAAAGTAACTGCTTGCTGCTCACAACAAGTGGTCAACCAAGCGAAAGTACACCGCAAAGCTTTTAGGAGTAATTCCGAAGGTAGCCCTGAAGCAGGATGACGAAGAGCACCTTTCTCTGGCTCCTAAATAGTAGTAATAATAATAGTACTTAATAATACAGTTAGGGGTACAATGGTGAGATAAATATCCTATGGAATTAGCTATTCCACTTTTCATATGAGATAGCTAATCCTATTATTTTAATGTAAAACTTATCCCCAAGTTAACTAATACCTATAATCAAACATGGATAAAAACAATTTCAAATTCTATCATGAGATTATTATCGATACCACTTGACAAAAAAGCCTATGTACGCTACTACTTTTTGGAGTTTCCATATGAACACATGGAATTTTTTGCCAGACGTTAATGTGACATTATACATGTGCTCATGTTTGTCAGGTTCAGTACATCGTCTGCTTCTGTATTGTAACCAACTGTGTTGTGGCTTTGTCCGTAAGATGATGCACGAAGAAGGTCAACACTTAGTTGCTGAAAAGGAAACTATTTTGGTTCTGATGAAAATAGGAGACGTCGTAACACTTTGATATCCTTCCTTTTAAACTAAAATATGACTGGTGTACAGCAAAAGAGCAAGCCACGAAGAAGGGTAAGAGTTAGATGATATGCCAGTATGGCAGTATTAAGGAACTCATTGTGAAGTGAAGCAACGCCAAACGTTTGTGTGAAGGTGGAATCCAGGAACGAGCGGTGAAAAGGTTGTCTTTGCCACGCACAGGACTTAGAGCTCAGAGGATGATACTAATAAATTTGTCCAACAGACCCATTGACAATTAGGTTGACATAACCCGAGGCTCTCATCTGCTGTAGCACCTCCTACTTTCCAACTAGCTTGCTCATCGCTGCACTAACCCTCTCATCTGTAATCATTTTGTGGCCGTCATAAAAGTCTAGTATCTCCATTGCTATGTTTTTCACCTGTCAATTTTTAGAGCTTAGAAGTTAAGAAATCAAAAATACCCTAGATAAGAAGCGGTCCAGATGACTACGAGATACTTCATTTAGAATAGTTCATGATGTAAGCTGTTCATAACTCTATATGCACATGCAGCGAAAGAAGGCTAATAGATGTGTCAAACTAGTGCCTAGACGACACTTTGAGAAACATTTTCCCCATCGAAGCATTACATAACACATTTTGCTAAAGCATAAAAGGTCTTATCAGCCAGTTTTGCTATAACAATAGCATGGAGCACAGTGTGGAAGTATGCTAAATGTTGAAATGTGCAACCATCTCACTTAAAAGTTTAAGCTATTAGAGAAAACACACTTTATTACTTAGTCTTTTTAACACGCTCCTTTACGTGCAGGCTTCATTCATTTTTTTTCATTTGCCAAGCACGTGGAAATTAATTTTTATAGTGGGTGGCGGTGAGACTTGAAACCCAGGACCTTTGCCAGCTCTGATACCACGTTGAAATGTGTGACCATCTCACCTAAAAGCTTAAGATGTTAGAGAGAAAACACTTTTATTACTTAGTCTCTTTAACACTCAATTCCTAAACTCATATTACAGAAAAACAAATCAATTCACATAGACAGGTACTTCTTTGCTAGTAAAATCACCATCATCTCCAACGCCAAAGACAAAAGATACTCTTGTAGAATAATGATTCTGACCTGTCAGGTCAAGGGTATCTTTTGTAGCAGTTAAGATTCAAGGAAGGAAAGCATGAGAGCAATTGGGTGCAGATTTAGGTTTTGTAGACATACCACATTCACATCAACTCGAAGCTCCTCAAACCAGGCAGTAGTTTCTTTATCTTTGAGCACACTTGCTATGTATACACATGCCAATGCAATCAAGTGCGGCGGATGTATGAGAATTAGGTCCATCTTATAGGTGTCATTCACAAGTCCCCTGAAAGATTGTACAATTGATAAATGCTGAGACCTTGTTATAGTTTATAGCATCTTTACATAGATAGTCATGGTCTATTTTGATTTTTTGGGATGTAATCAGGCACAAGCTTTGTGCTATTTGTTAATAATAACACTTACCATTTTAACAAAAATAAAGATTGTCCAATTGATAATAATCTAGTATGATTCCATGCAAGTCAAAGATATCAGGCAGCCTAGGAAAAGATGTTTCTTACCATGTTAATTGAGCTGTATCATTCATGCCAGCGTCCTGTAACAACCTGCCAATTAGAGAGTTTGGATAGACATAATCAGCTAAAAAGGAAATCGTACTCTGATTCCAATTTGAGGGAAATCGTAAAGGGACCAATTTGAGGAAGCAAACAGAACTACATCGCATTAATGACATTTCGAAAATGTCAATCTCTCTAGAGATATTGTCCACCAACCGTAGTCTGCCAAGAGAGCAACACAGTATAAAACTGTAAAAAAACACACTACTTTTTTTTTTGATAAGGTAAAGGTTTAAAACACTTTACTTTTGTAATACTCAAATAGAAGTTCTCCAGCAGGTTGTCAGATGGTAGATTAATCACTCATACAGAAAGGTCCACGATTCAAGTCTGGACAAAAAAACCCATGGAATTAATAGAAAATATCTAAGCTTGACTTCTTGTGCTACAAGCTTAGTCAGCATAAGAAGAGTGAAGTTAAGGTGAGATTAGACGGGATTGCGCTGTCTAAATGCAAATAATCCTAATATATATGCTCGATACTCCAGAAGAATGGTTTGATAATGAAGATGTTACACATAGAATGAATATAAGATGGTTGAAATACAGAAGTGCTACCAGAGTGTTATGTGATAAAAGGATACCGATCAAAGTGAAAGGCGAATTTTAAAGAACAGTTATAAGCCATGAATTTTGGGCTGCTGAAGTCCACATATCCACAAGATAGGTATTGCAGAGAAGCAGATGCTAACATGGACAAGATTAGACAAGATTAAAAACTGATCACATTTGGAAGAAGGTGGAAATAGCAGACATTAAGAATAAAATGACAGAAGATTGAGTGATTGACTTCTGAGAGGCCAATCTTCCCCTCGTGGCTGCAGGGGAAGAGTTCTAAGTAGACTGAAACCAGAAGCCATGCTTTCATGCTAAACGGAGACCACGGGACGGCTTCATAACCTCCTAACCGCCCCCAGTTCTCTGCCCAAATCAGCCTGGGTTCTTCCCATGCCCCCTCTCCCACTTCCCCTCCAGGGTCGAGGCCAGCTGTATTGGACTAATAGCAAGAGAACTGAGCCTGCATAAAATGCACTTGGGTTCTATGAGGCCAGCCCGGCCACGGTTAGGCAGATTGACTGCTAGTTCCAGAAGACTATGAAACCAGAAGCCAAGCTTTCAGGTTTAAAAGACTTTTGAAGACTAAACCCTCATGGCAATAACTTCCTTCTTTTCTTGTTATTCTCATCAAGGTGTTCTCTACTGGCAGAAGAAGGAGAACTAGATGGACCAATTCTGAGATTCTGCAATCTTGTTGCTGCATAAGCACACATACATGCAGCTAGATACCCGATATGGCATAACTAAACTAAATAACCAAACCTATTGGGTTGTTTGATAAGAAACTCAGTCTCTGGGGGAAAGTTCTATATGGGGAAATTGATATCATCTCGTTTCACATTGCTCATAAGGCATCACATGGTGGCAGGTAGATACGTTGATCTCCCTGATACAAATTGATCTTTTAATGTACAGCACATTTGGTAATCTTAAGAAGATATACTTACTGAGACAATGATCGATATGGATGGAATATAACTAAGTAATAATTGAGGGCTTCCAAGATTTTCATCTCCATGTCAAGTATGTCTTTTATTTCATACCTATACTTGTCATCTGAATCTGCAAAACCAAAATGCAAACGATCATCTTGTCACCACTAATCACAGCTGATGTTCAATAAACTGATGCTAGAATAAGAGGATACGCCAATACAATTACTTCATCAGAGTGATCAACAAGAATTTACATAATTTTTTGATGTAAAATACAAGAAGTCTGGCCTGGACAGTGCTTTCTTCTGATTTTGATGCCAAATATAAGCAAGATGGAGCAACCAGACGAGGATCGTATTCCGTCATACTTCTCCTAGGAGAAATACAAGAAACGGTAATTAGAAAGTTAAACACTTCAAAATACAAGGACGTATGCTCCGCCGTGATGCATCACCAGAGACCTAACAGCATAGAGTAAATTTGAAGTTTGAATTCGTAAATTTGAGGAAAAGACAGAATCTGAACCAGAGAATACTATTTCACTTGGATTCATTACCATCACACTTATGACAACATTTAACTTCACTTAAGTACATTGTATTTGTTCTGCATGACTCGGAATAAAGAGAACATAAAGTGATAGAGATCATTTGCTAAATTGTTGTTACACCCCACACTATTCCCACACATATAAAGTTGAAGATTAATGAGGTTTTTACACAACCAATCAGCCGGCAGCACGTTATAAGGACATGGAGGCGGTTATATTTGACCAGATTGCACCAGCTGTCCCACCGGGCGCAGTGGCCGGTGCGGGGCGGCCCGTTTGGCATATAGGGCGGCGGAATTTCCTAGAGTTAGCATAAAAGGCAGTGCAGCTCTCTTCTCTTCCATTCTAGGAGATATCACCAATTTCAGTTCACCCCAAATACTCATAAACCCCTTTGAGAATTCCTAAATAGTCTAAGGCTAAATCAGAGGTGGACCTAGTAGGATTTGGCGTGAAGAACTTGAGATCGTCACTATAGTATCGGTTATCTTGTTATACTGATTTCTGGAGATTCATTGGAGGCGGAGTTAATCACCACAAAAAGTGTAAGAACTCGGGAAGCATAGCTAGTTCTTCAATAAAGTATGTAAGACAACTTCCCTTTTGAGCATGATTTGGTGTAAGCATCTCTCTCTAAAGGAATTATGTGTTGTAAGATTGGTTCGTTCTAAGCCCTTCTCAATAATGTTGCTTCTGTTCTTATACATTCGGACCGGTAGCATTTCTTTCCAGTCTGAGGTGTTCCTAGACAGCACCCTGAGGTCGGAAAGACATGATTCATTTTGAGTTTAATCTTAATGTCTCTTGAAGCTAATATATATATATATATATTACTCTACCGAGCCGTGCTATAGTCGGTTGGGTACGGCACCTCTATTGTGCAACCACTGATCAATTGGGTATGATGAAACATGATGTATGATGTGAGGTTACCGAGTCCTCTTGAGACCAACTACGGTGAGTCCTGTTGAGGCCGAGTACAGTCGAGATCTCCTGAGGCCGGGTATGGAGTGAAGTGATATGAGATATTAACGAGCTCTCGTGTGGCCGGGTACGACCGAGTCCTTTTGAGACCAGGTACGCCGAGTTCTGTTGAGACCGGGTACAACCGAGATCTCTTGAGGTCGGGTAAGATATGATACAATATAATATGATGTGCCCCAAAGAGTAGCGTATTGGTACTATATTATGTATTTAATGCATAGTCCCAATGAGAGGCCTCGTTTTTACAAAACTTGCATGTTATTATGATTCATGGTTCCCGCAGTATACGCCCCCGGTGGCTTGTCTTCGGTATGCAGGTTGAAGTGACATATTCATACCTCTTATACGTACCTTATCAGTCTTACATACTCAGTACATTTTTCATATTGACACCCTTTTCTTTTGGGTGATGTGTTCATGCCCACAGGTACAGACAGATCCGGTGACATCCCTCACCGGTAGGGTGCTCGTTTCTGCGGTTGCTGGTCGCACTCCACTTCTCCGGAGTAGCTGTTAAGAAGTCAATAGGTACTAAAGTATATGTTCCGGTCTTTTCGGGTACGGTGGGACCTTGTCCCGACCAAGTCATGTACTTTATTTTGGTACTCTTAGTCTTAGAGACTTGCAGACTAGTGTTCGGATGTATGTAAGGGTTGGTAATGACTTTGTTGGCAACAGTTGTGAAGTTGTATAAAATGGTAATGTTTCTCTGACAATCAATTGTACACATTTTAACTCTGGTACTACACTTGGAGGCCTTGTTGGTCCAGATTCCACGTTGAAGGGGTCTAAGTATAGACGATGGTTCGCACGGGCCTTCGGGCATCGTGTGCCGATCTAACCTCCCGAGGTTGGGGTGTGACAATTGTAGATCCTAATTTAACTATTCACAAGATGTGTGAAGATTAAATGTAAAAGCACTAGTTATTTTTCTTCTTCTTGAAACCGTCAGTAATCCTAAGAACGTGCACAGTATAATAAGACCATTAGGGAAATCTTATAAGATTCATACTTCAGAAGAGCGACATCGATTTATATGCATCTTGGTGGTTATATGGTAGGTACAGGGTCTAATTTAGATACTGGGTACCAAGACCCTGAAAGTAAAACGCATATTCATTTTCCTTTCACGGTTGCATATAACAAGATATACCTGATGTACACCCGTCTCATGTAAGTAATGGCAGTGGCGACAACCCTGGAAATAACCAACATATTAGAAATCCCTGAATTGCTCAGTAAAGAAAAGTAAATGCTTATAGTACGTCATCACCCATCACTTTTACAACTTTTTGAAATACACGTGAAGTAGCTCAGCGTGCACACATTGGACAAATGTTTTATAACATTGAAAAGGTCCAAGAATGCCCTAAATCAGCTAGCTTTGCACTATCATCCTTGGTCCTCCTATATTAGTCAGCTTAGAAAGGTATCAGGTTCAAATAACAGCCCTCAGCTTATCCATTTTATGGTTACTAATGGTGTATTTGAGAAGTATAAACAACAAAAGCAACAACTAGGCCTCAATCCCAAACAAGTTAGGATCGGCTATATGAATCCTTACTGACCATGTTACTCAAAACTCCTCATGCCAATAGTATGCAAATACAAAGAGCAGTATAAAGAGCAGCCCGGTGCACTAAGCTCCCGCTATGCGCGAGGTCCAGGGAAGGGCTGGACCACAAGAGTCTATTGTACGCAGCCCTACTCTGCATTTCTGAAAAAGGTTATTTCCACGGCTCGAACCCCTGACCTCCTGGTCACATGGCTTACCGTGCGATATCTCTCTTTAAAATAATCATAGGCTTAACAAAAGTTGACCATTTCAACAGTAGCAACATCAAGTACGTAGACGTCCTCACACCAAAACTGAATGATTGACAATTGAAGGTTCCATTCATAAGAAAAGGATATGCTCATAGAAAAAATAAGTTGCGTACGCCAATGAGAAAAGAACGCACCTTTGTCTCACTTTGACATTTTGAGCCAATCTTGCAATATCTGGAAAGAAGCAGAAAGATGAAAAAATTAAGATATAGATTAACATAATTTCAGTTGTTCAGGAGAAAGAGTCCAAAAGTAGTTAAGAAACAGAAACAGAAAGAAAAATGTGAACGCTTCAAGTATGATCAAGAAAGGATGAGCAGTATCATATGTGCACTGGAGCAACTTTCTCAAATTTCCGTTTTAATTATAGAAGAATACAAGTTTCTCTCTCTTTTCTTTGTTTCCTTTACGTGATAACATTGGATGGGAATGAATGGGGTTCAAATGGATCAACATGGATAGCGAGAATTCTTATATATGAACCAGACTAATTTGGAATTGAGGCATCACTGTTGTTGTCCCGATCAATTTGCACTGAGTAACTCTCCTCACCAACATTTAGGCAGACGAGAAGAAATCACATTTCTTTTTGCTTCTATTAGAATTCGAATCATGTACTCTCGTGGTTGTCATTTCAGCTTCATCGACAAGGGAAATTAATTCTACGAATAATTGAATATTTAATCGTTCTAATAACATTACAAGATTTAAAAAAATAAGTTGTCATACTCATTGTTTGATGTTAATGAACTTGGAAACAAGACATTAAAAGATGGAGGGGCAGAAAAAGGTAACTACTCAAGTAGCTAAACCCAAACAAAAACGTGGCTTCAATGAATTACTGGATATAATGTGAAGCAAGAAATAATACAATTAATCATGCAATCCAGATAAAAGTTAGTATATTTGAAAGGGTTTACAATAAAGAAAATCTGAAAAGATATATAAAAAGATGGTGAATAATGTAATTAGGCTACACACACACACACACACACAGAGATATATTACAATTGGACATATGCAATTTGATGAGCTTGAAATCTTCAAGGGTAATGCCCCTCTCCTTATCAAGCTGATGCACGACATCCACCTCTTCAGGATCTAGAAGTTCTTTGCTGCTCAGACAAAACCAAAGAAAATATATTAAATGAAAATAATAGGATTCTTGAACAAACAAAATACACCAGCAGATAGAAGAAGCAAAAATAATATGGGAATTCCCACATACTAGTGAGATGAAGTCCAGAAATTAGCAGACATTTTTGTATCCGAATTGCTTTGAGCTACCAAACAAGGACGATTTCCCTATGTTATCGGATATCCGTTGCTTCAATAAAACGTTCCTCTTCTTGCTTCTCTCTTGTTTTTTGTTTTTTTTTTTAAATTTTAAGTTTTTAGAAAGAATTTCCTACCGTCAGCTGAAAGTAAGGATGGCATGTGGTTCGGTCCAAGCGCGGGACCGGCCCGGGACCGCGGATCATGTGGGTTTCTGGGCCTAAACGGTCCTTTAACCGGTTAGAACCGGGACGGTGGAGGTGGGCCGGTCCTTCACAAAAAAATTATAAGACCGGGACCATTTGAGACCGGGACCGGACCGATTCTTGGCGGGCCTAAACGGTCCTAACGTTCAGAAATTTTAAAAAAAATCTGCCCGTTTGGGCATTTAAAATCTAGCCGTTTGGGTTGTCAAAATAGCCGTTGGTTATTTTCAAAATAGCCATTTAACCGTCAACTTTGTTTTAACCCCAAACTTTTTATAATTACACTTTTCTTATTTTAAACTATAAATACCTCCTCATTTTTTTCATTTGTCTCATAAAATTATCAATCTCTCTCTAACTTTCTTCTATAATTGCTACTATTGCTTACTTTATTGTTATAATTTGTGAAAAAATTGTGAAGTTGGTGAATTGAAGTCTTCAAGTCTTCAACGATAATCAAGTTTCAACAAGTTGTTCGTCAATTCAGTAAACTCGTTCCAACTCATAATTTTTAATATTATAATTTTGTTTGTTTTATTTATTTTCTATTATTTGATTAATTACGATGGCTTCCTTAAAAAAAACTTTTTGGTAAAAATAAGGGAAATGCAAGAGTGGCCAATCTGTTCCTCCTCCACTGCCCCCGGCTCCCCGACCCAAACCCCATATCCGTCTTACACCTGCAATTCTTGATAGCGATAATAGTTTATTACAATTTACTGAGAGTTAATTTTGCCATAATGTTGGGGCTGGTGAACAATTAAACCATGAATTAATGAATGCTCTTTATTCTAATCCAACTATTGATGAAAATGATAAGGAGGAAATAGATTTTGATGAAACTCAACCTGATGACGATCCAACTATTGTGCATAATATTAGAAAAAATTTTAATCCTACTTATAAAGGTTTTCCTCGCACAACCGTAAAGAGCGATATTTATAAACATAAACAAGAATATGAACAATATTTGCGCTATTTATTTACTCACATAAATTATCGTGTTGATATTACAACTGATATTGGTAGAAGTGGCAACGACTGTGATTACCTTACTGTTACCAGTTATTGGATTGATGAGGATTGGATAATGCAAAAGCGCATTATCCTTATAGAATAATTAATTTACGTCACACATGGCAGTTTATTGCTAGCATAGTTATGGATATTTGTAAATATTTTTGCATTAGTGATAAAATAATGTCAGTTTCAATAGTTAATACTACTAGTAACACAAATGTTGTAGCCTTGCTTACCACTACACTAAGTCCTGCATTTAGTAACATTTTTCATGTTAGATGTATTTGTCATATTTACCATTTAATTGTGGGTGATGGTGATCACTGTCGACTCGACACTACGCTAAGGTAGGAAGAGCGGGTCGCAATAGCTTTTACCCGAATAGTGGTTCGGGATCGAATTTCAACAGGGAGCTAGTAGTGGAGTTGTATTATCTGTCTAGTCTAGAGATGCGATTTTGCTCCTAATGTCACTTCAAACATTTTTGGTTTTCTTTGATTTTTATATCTACTATTATAAAACTAATGAGTAAAACTAAATTATGCTACGAGAATATTGCTAAGTTGTATTTAATATAGAGAAAGGCACTAGGGTCGTGGCATCGCCTAGGTGGCTAATTAACGGGTAGATGCTACTAAGGATAGATTGACATATTTGGGGTTTATGCTATAACTGTTGCACAATTGAACCCACTCTCGCACCTCTCGGTAGAGAGAGTGATTTTGCCCAATTGACTCTCTTGAGACCAATTGGGTAGGCCAATTAGACCAAGCAACTAGGGTTCAAGTAAGGTAATTACTCTCTCGAGATTTAACCCGTTAATTGGGGCTACCATTTCTCATGGGTCCATCCCAATTCCTTGTTGGGTCAATTTTGGGGTCATGGACTCTCTTTCTCAAGAAGAGTTAAACCCACAAAGCTAGAATCAGTGTTTGCAACCACCAATCCTTAATTAAATCTAAAATCAACCCAAATAACAAACACCCAATATCATCCTAACCTTAGATGGCAACACCCATCAATTACCCACACTAGGGTTGAGCCAGAACCGTAGCTGATGGGTTTAGCTACTCATGCTAGGTACAGAAATTAAAGAAATAGATGAAAAAGTAAGCATATTAATTAATTACTAGGAAGAAACTATAATAATGAAGAGCAAAAGTGCCGAAAATGGCTACAATATTCGGTCTCACGAGCTCAGCTGTGTTCAGAACATAAAACTTAACCTAAAAATAGAAAAAGGTCCTATTTATACTGAGCTGGAAAAACTGGACAAAAATACCCCTGCGGGGTCAGCGCGGACCGCGGCTACACTGGCTCTTGAACTCCTGGTTTCTGCTTCTCTGAAATTGAGGACCGCGGACCGTGTGAAAATGTAGCGCGGCCGCGGTGGAAGTTGGCGCGGCCACATAGAAATGAACGTGGGCCGCTTTGCTTGGAATTGACCAAAATTAGGGTCCTCTGAATCTCTGCTCCGCGAACCGAGTAAAAGGGTAGCGCGGCCGCGGAGCCTGACCGTGTGGAAATAACCGCGACCGCGTAGCATGTCCCCTTGAGCCTGTCATCCTCTGAACCTCCTAATGCGGCCACGTTCACAGTTGCGCGGTCCGCACTAGGTCCTCTTTTCCTCAACTTACTTAGTCTTTGACACTTGAGCAGGTTTCACTCCTTTTTGAGCCGATATTTGACATTCGTCGCTTTGTCGATCAAACCTGCAATCAAGTACAGTTTGTGAGCATTTTGGGACTATTTTGTAGCATTTTATAACCAAAGCTTAGGCAAGTAGGGGCATATAACACGTTAAAATCCTAACTTATCAACTCCCCCAAACTTAAGCCTTTGCTTGTCCTCAAGCAAACAAAATAAGACCCACCCCTTAAAGGAAAATCCAAGTAATTCCAGCTATCCTAAAGCAACCTCAGCAAGCATCAATTGGGAATAACAATTGCCCTCAATACGAATGCATCATTAACACATTTAAACTTAGAAAAACCATGGATCAAGTGTGACATAAGAGCATCAAGAGTTGACACATTTCATCAAAGAACTTATTTCAATTACTTTGGTCATTGTGGAACCCAAACTCACACATCCTCAACTCTCCCTAAGCGAACCTCACCTTTTAGAGTATTAACACACAAATCGAGGTTGATGGAGTTTCACTCATCTCTCTCAATAAGAAGGTCAAGTCCGGCTCTAAGTACCATATGCTTGCCCCTTAAGTAAGTATCCACTAATGTAGGTTTCCTTCAACTCAAGATCCTATAGGGCTTTTGTGGAGTCATTGTGAAGGCTTTTGAGTAAGGGTAGGACATGTTTCTATTCAAGTGGGTTCAATCTTCCCTTAAGCACTTCTTTTGATTCATTATGGCACAACTCTCCTGACCCTTTTGAGTATTCCACTTCTTTACAACGGGTTAGAGAGACACATTGTCACTCTTTCTTATGCAATTCAAAACATTTCTCCTTTTTCTACTTTTTCCACACCTTTTTCACTTTTGTTTTCCTTGAATCCCTTTTTATTCTTGTTCACATTGGAATTACTTTTTGTCTTCTTCTTTTCTTGCTTTTTCACTGCCTCCCTTTTTCTTTTGCTTTTGTACCTTTCTACCACTTTGTTTCCTTTCTTGTCTCTCCCCCCAAACTTAGACATTTGCCATTACTCAAGGGAAGATTTGGGTGCCAAGAGAGGGTAATCATTTAGAACGGGTATAGGCTTGTAGCATTGGTTCTTGAAAGAAAAGGTTTAAGGCTCAAAAGGGTTAACTAGGGATCATCTTTTTGGTAGGCTATGGAATTGTTCAACTTAAAATTCGGATCAAGGAGAGCCTATAATCACTTCTCAAGTCAAATTTCACATAGGATTTCGCCTCAACAAACATTCAGGGCAAGTTCTAGATCATTGGCTCGGGACTTGGACTCGCAATTCGATTCCTCACCACACATGCTAGGGGATTGCTAAAGACATCGAGTCGAGGGCCCACAACGACCTTAGTTACGATTCAAGCACACAATGGTCCGAAAAGACCACATGATGATTGTTTGGTCAACGCAAGAGTCTCAAAGCCACGACTCTCACCATCCTAAACACAACATTATGTCTTTGACCATGGGATCAAAGGCAAATGTGCTAGGCCCAAGTGAAGCTTTGCTTGAGGTACCCTTAACTACAACTATCAAAAACAAAAGAAAAATCAAAGAAACGGACTCAAACCCTTAAGAAGGTTGTCACTCCATCCATCATCGGGAAGAGCCACCCGGTTCACACAATACTCCACCCTTGGAAAGAACCGTGGCCTTAAGAAAACCAAGGGCTTATTGGAAGCGTCAAAAACAAAACAAGAGGCTACGAGCCTAACTATAAAGCTAAAAATGAAAGATTTTTGCAAAAATAGAAAATAGAATGAATATTTACAATAGGGAATTAGAATATACAAACGGGGATAAATATATACAAAATGTAACTTAACTTTATATACAAACCAAAATAGAAGATAAAAAGTACTGAATGTAAAGTTATTTACATACCAAATAGAAAATCAACCAAAAGGAATAAAAATTGAGTCAAATATGTACAGTCATCCAGATAGTCAACAAAAAAGTAGGGCGCACCCCCACGAATAAGAGCTGGCATTGTCCCCAATGCCAACTACCAAAATAAGCATCAAAAGTCATAGTAAAGGATATCGGGGCTCCCTAAGACTGGTCCGTCTGCATGGGGTCATCAGTGGTCCCCAAGTCCTCCGTATGTGCGGGAGCCTCAGACTGGCTCCCGGCCTCCTGCTGCTCAACTACTGGGACTGGAGCCTGCTCCTGGACCGGCTGTATGACAGGTGCATCATGAGGCAAAGTGGAGGAGGCCTCCTGTGGGACTGCCACCTCAATAACT